GGTAGGGTCCCTAGGCCTGGCCTGCGATCAGGGCTGATCAGGTTCCCCGCCTCCCCACCTCTCCACTTCATCCTTCCCTCGCTTCCTCAGCGCCCTGCTGCCACCGCTAGTTGCTCGCCATGTTCTGTGTCCCCCCCAACCCCCGTGTGGTCAGCGCATGTCATAGCAAGCGATCAAACTCCTGGTCTCCTGGTCGAACTCCCGAGGGGACACTTTGCATATTAGCCTTTTATATATACAGATGAGAAGACAATCAGTCCTTCTCCAACCTTGAAGTCCGAGCTCTGAAAATGCTCATGGTAGGAAAATGTGCAGTTCAAGATCGTCCAGGGGAAAAGAGGGCTGGGGGAGACAAGTGATGCATGGCCATAGGAAAGCCTTCACAAATACTTGTGCAGGCAGCCAAATAAAAAAACAATTGAACAAAACACCCATTATTGCATATTTTATATTTTAAAGTTGTTATTAAGTCTTATTATAGTATCACCATCTCTTTTCAGGATTGTGCCCCTTCACAGTGCCACAAATATTTGGGGGTGGGGCCAAAATATGGACCATAAACATTCACTGGGATCTTCTCAAGGCTGAACGATTCTATGACCTCCCAGGAAGATCCCACCATGGCTCAGAGACCAAAGGGAAACAGGGGCAGAAAATGATGCTTGTGGATGGCTGCATTTGCTTACAGAGAACCAAATTCCATGCCTGACATTCTCTTCATGAGATCTCAGCTTTTCTTTCTCTAAACTGCAAATAAGGTGTGAAATACAACTAGCTCAGAAAAGGAAAGTATTATATTCCTACCATTGAATGACATGACATCTTTTCACAGATTCGGTGGGGAAAGAAAGAAGGAGTGCGAGCAAGAAGCCAATCTAGCATTTGAGGGGGAACTGGGAAGGTGATGAGAGGGGACAATGAGAACGGACTGCACAGGTCGATTTAGAAGGAACCTACACTTTAAAATAAAAACAAACATAAAGTAAATGAGATCACTCTAGACCAGGGGTGGGCAAACTTTTTGACTCGAGGGCCACAATGGGTTCTTAAACTGGACCGGAGGGCCGGAACAAAAGCATGGATGGAGTGTTTGTGTGAACTAATATAAATTCAAAGTAAACATCATTGCATAAAAGGGTACGGTCTTTTTTTTTTTAGTTTTATTCATTTCAAACGTGCCGGATCCGGCCCGCGGGCCGTAGTTTGCCCACGGCTGCTCTAGACACTGAATGCCCTGCATGTCTGCAGTCTGGGAGGATGGAGGAGTGTTTTTTGCAGGGCCTGGTGTAGACTGGATTCCACTACCCCAGGATGGAAAAGGTTTCTAGACAAAACCTCAAAGGTAGGTTATTGTTCAGACAAAACAAACCACATTCTCTAGTGCACTGACCATCATTTCATCATTTTCAATTGTATGACTAAGGCCTGTCTTTTGGATGGGAGGGACCTGCCTGTCCTTTTATGGTATAACCCGGGGCAATCAACACTCATTCACTGACCCACAGGAGGCGACGCAGGGGCAGCCTTAAAAGGACATAGGAAGGATTTAGGGGAGAGAAAAAGCTGCCCCAGGGAGGACAATGAAAATCAAAGAAGATGACCCCGCCCCCCCACTAATAAGCTCCTCTCAGCAGGAATCTTCAGGACTGATTCGCACTCAAGGCCTCCTTTGCAAAGAACTGTTAGGTTTATATTAAAAAACTAAAACTTTGAACAACTGCAGAAGCAGAAACTAGAATTTTCTCTTTAAAAAAAAATATATTTTTATTGATTTCAGAGAGGAAGGGAGAGGGAGAGAGAGGTAGAAACATCAATGATGAGAGAGAATCATTGATGGGCTGCCTCCTCACACCCTGTCCTGGGATCGAGCCCACAACCTGGACAGGTGCCCTGATTGGTAATTGAACTATGATCTCCTGGTTCATAGGTTGATGTTCAACCACTGAGCCACACCTGCTGGGCATGAAGTACTAATAAGGTACCTGTTGGATTAAAAAATAAATGCCATGCATAGTCTAGCACCAGTCAAGCCTTCAGAGGACTGACATCCGGGCCCACATTTTGACAACTTCCTGAGAAACCGTGAGCAAAAACCATCCAGCTAGGAGATGCTCCTGAATTTCTGACTTTCAGAAACTGTGTGAGACAATAGATACATGTTGTTTTAAACCATTACATTGGGGGTCGCTGGTCATGCTGAAGAGTCCTTTGTAGGACAATGGTGATTTTCTACTTGACCTACTTGGGTGTCGTTGGTTAATCTCAGTTTCTCTCTCCATGACTGAAATGGAACCCTGTTCTCAGATCAGGCTTATGGACACATGTAGAGCCAAGAGCCACATCTGATGTTGGCCAATGTTTTTATTTAATGTGGGTGCTGAACTGCTGCCCAGGTAAATAGGAGAAAGGCATTCTTAATCTGACAGAAAGACTTTATTACCTCGGCCTTCCCTACTATGATCTGAAACCCCTGGGGCCAGATGGGTTTCAAAATTCAAACTTTTATACATTTCAGAACGGTACTCTACTTACCTCAAACCCTCAGTGAGGTCTGGGGCAACAACTTGTCATCAGAAATCACACATTAGTATTTATGCAATAAGATGTATGATTATTCATACCAAATGAGATAAAGGAAGACTAGAAAAAGCTTAAGGATTTTCCACTAAGTATGTTCAGTAGGCTAGATTTTTTTTTCCCAGAGCTTTTAGATTTCAGAACTGAATAATGGATTGTAAACCTATACTAATTTTACATTGAAAGTTTCTCTCCCTCATCTTTTTCTCATGTTTCCTCTTGTCAGATAGCTATGGAGTCACTACTCAAGTCTACTAAGAAATGCTTTCTTTAAATAGTTTGGAGTTTCATCTACCTCTCAGCGGTTCCCGAGCTTGGCTGCACATTAGAGCCAATTGGGAGCTTTGAACAACTACTTATACTTGGTTCCCAGCTAAATCAGATCCTCCGGGCATCAGTATTTGCTGCTGCTGTTGTTTCAAAGGTTCCTATGTACTTCTAGGTTGAATCGCGAGTTGAGAATCATTCTTCTATTTAATAAGGTATCTTAGTTTTCCCAAGACTCAACCTCTTTATCTTATGACCATTTCAACTGACAATCTCTCTTTACTTTTTATTTTGTTCTCCTCTAATTTAATTAATCTATAAAGGAACATGGCCCACTGTGTTCTAGGTATTAAATGAGGCTATAACTCAACCCAATGATAAGATTCAGTTACTAGCAACAATTTGACAGACACCATCTCTTCAA